ATAGTTCACATAATCGCAGTCACATTTTGATCTTGTTAGACTTGAAGTTTAATTTTGTTGACTCGTAGCTTTTTTTTCAATATACTTAGATCTAACCAACATATATAACTTGCTGATAATTAAAGTGTATTTAGTCGGGCAGAAATGTTGGCACCAAAATGCATTTGCCCTACTCTCTCCTGGGCCGTAGTTAATGTATGTTCAAGTCTGCCCGACAACTCATATGCTCTTTATAAAAAAATTTTTGTTAGTTAATAGTCATGGTTTATATTAACTTATAAGATATTATTTATTTAAATTTATTAAATTTCATGATTTTATCTCACAAAATATATTTTATAAATTGAAAGTAATGTAAACATTTATATTTCAAAATCGATTTTAATACACAATTGATGAGAAATTCATAATTTTTTTCTAAAATCATAACATCTATTTGCATTCTATTGAAAGCTCATCATCTTCGATAGCACACTGCTAGTACCACAAAGCCGATTTTAATATCAAATATTATAATCTACATCAACTTTTAAGGTATTACTTATTTTAACTCATTGGACCTCTAAGTTTTTTTTTTCACAAAAGACATTTCCTAAGTTAAAGGTAATATGAACATTTATATCTCAAAATTAATTTTAATATATAATCGATATGAGACTCATAATTTTTATGTAGGACCATAATACTAAGGTTTCATTGAGTTGGGCAATGAAATTTATTTGATGAGATAAAAAACAGTTGTAGAAGTGATATTAATTACTGTAACGATGAGATATATGTTTGGTTGCAAAATTAGCAATGTGATGAAATGAAAATGAAAATGATCATTAAAGACTTATGATTATAAGGTAAAATAAAAAAAAATAAAAAACGAATCAAAAGAATAAAATTGAAAAAAAGATGCGATGGGACTGCGTAACTTTAACTAGAGCTTTTAGCTCCAATTACTCACTGACACTAATCGTTCCTAATCCAAACGAAAAAAATAGTACGTTTGAAGTAAAAGAGGCAAACAAATCTCACCTCACTTGTAGTTCGGTGAGATTCAAATGAAGCCTAAGCCTGTTTATCCATCCAGCGATAACCCCTTGCTTTGGATGACTTGTTTTTAACAAGAAAAATCACTAAGGGGTCAACTTCTACTAGCTTTGGAAGGTGTTCCTAATTGAATTGACAAAAATTGACAATTTCTGTAAATATATCATGTTATAGATTATCGAACTGAGGATTCAGAAAATGTACAAATAGTATATGCATCATAATATATAGAGTTAGGGGTGAAATGATAAAAATAAATGGACAATTCATCAAAATTCAAATAAAATGTTTACATTCATCAGCTGATACTGAAACTTCTTGGTTTGTAAAGTCTTTGTTGTATATGGCACCAAAGCAAAGCCTGCAGGCTGCTCTTCTCAGTAATTAAGTGCGTGACTTCCAACTGTGTTTATTAACAATTGAAGATGAATTACCTTTCATGAACGTGTATATCCAATTTGAAACAGTTGAAAGGTTGAAAAATCAGGATGCAAGAAATCCAATCCGGGCATCGATATCTTCAGGAAGTTTTGAGAAGAAAGAATATGGAATGCAGGACTGAAAACAAAAGAGAAAGCCTCAAGGAAGAAGAAGAAGATGGTAGAGATAGGTGCCATATATATATTGAAACTTTGGTCTATTGAAATGGTTAATGGTTTGGAGAATTCTCTCTAGACCGTATACCATATAGGCTTCTTGTTGGACCTTGGAAATGGTAGTTGACTTTGTTGCTTGAAAGTGTTTGCTTTCCAACAAAAGAAGCATTTAGACAAAATGATGGAAGTGATTGCATGGGTTGCTTATTTCTGTGGGAAAAATGATGTAATGTGTTTGTTGGGGTTCCTGCCTACAACATTATGAGCGGGGGACAAAAATTTTGTGTTAGGAATAGGATAAGTTTGAAAAAGAAATAATGAAATGGATAGTTTCTCTAGAGACACACCCAAGCACTAGATTGTCATGCCTTTTAGCCTTCATAATTGCAACTACCAAAAAACTGAGGGAATTCTTGAACTAATCAAAAGGGTTTTAGGTAAGGGTCAAATTATGTTTGTAAGATACTCGATAGAAATATGCTGATATGTATAAAAGGACTGAAGGTGTATAAATTACTCATGAAAAATTATTTTACATTATAATGGTGAAATTTTTTAATTTTACAAGTGAGATTAGAGGATTGAAATGTATCTTATTAAAGTATCTTTATGAAAATTAATAAATATTTATAATAATTAAATAAATATATAATATTTTTATTTTATTTATAAAATCCAAAAATTTCACGTTTTATTGAAACAAATCAATGATAAAAATCTGCAACTAGAAATTAGAATGATTGGTGATTGGATGGGTTAGGCCTAGCTAATAAAGCCATATTTAACTTCTGTTGGGTCTAGAAGGTAAGATTTTTGTTCAAGCCTGTTATTTTGTTGTTAAAGTAAAAAATCGACTCGGCCCATTAGAAAATCCAAGCCAGGCCACGTTAGAAAAGAGAAGTCTACCTTGGACCAAGTTAACCATATGAATTTGTCTAAATAGATGACACCAAATTGCTGTACTACAATCAGCCTTTCACAATTTTTTTTAATCGTATATTTGTATTATATAAAATATTAAAATTTTTATATTTATATCGTATTTTTTATAAAAATTATATGTAATAATTTATTTTAACATAAAAATATAAAATATATTTTTTATTTTATTAAATTTATATATATAATTATTATTAAATTTTTAAACATATCACTTTCATGTCTAATTTTTATATATTGTGTATGATATCATTGTATCGTATTTAAATTATTAGATGTATGAAATTATAAATGCGCTTTCACACTCGTAATAAAAGAACCAGTAACGACTTAGCTACCATCCCAAAAATGCAACATCTTGCAAATGAAAGTCACCTAATCGTTAAAACTTAAAAAGAAGTCTTGTTCAGCAAAGTATCACGACTCGACGGTGAGAATTTGCACATGCTTTGCATGTGAATATTGAGATCGGATAGTCACAGTTATGTGACATTCTAATGTTTTTGTCAAACTTAAAAGGTCTAAGCACGAATCATAGAATAAGGCGAAATCAATGGCATGCATCTAAGCAGATAGCTCAATGACAGATGCATGAATTTTTCTGTTCAAAAGATTGGGTTTGAATTCCCTTTTTCCTAAATCATTAAAGAAAAAAAAAACACGTATTCAATAAAGAAGAAAGACACTGAGTAATCATTAGGTTCAATTAACCTAAGAACAATGCTAAATTCAAAAAAAAAAAAAAAAACCATTGGAAACAATCCGAATTAAAAGCTATCTTTGAAGTTGGTAAAAATATTTATATGGGTTTATTAGCGAATATTTGGGATGTAAACAAACCAAATATAAATGAATCAATGTATATCTGTTTGATTTATTCATTTATTTTTAAAATTGTTCTGTTTGATAAAAAAATTATTTATTTATTTAAATGATAACATATTCATATTCAATTTGTATTTGACTCAATTAAATTAAAGATATTCGCTCATGAATATTAAACGAACATATTCACATAAATTATAATCAAATAAATTTAAATAATTAAACCCTAAATAAATTTATACAAATATAAATAAATCTTAAAATAGGATTAAGGTAAAAAATAAAAATATAATTTTTTTATTATTATTGTTGAACAATAAACAAACCCTAAATGAATGTTTTAAACTAATGAATTTTAAATAAATTTATTTGTAAACATAAACAATCAAATATACCTTAATTCATATTTGATTCATTTAATAAATATAAAAATACTATTTAAAACATTTATTAAATTTAATAAATTAATAAAAACTAAATATATTCACAAACGTCGAAAACTTTATTTATTTACCTCCCTAATAAAAACTAAAATTTTAGAGCAATGTCAAGAATTCAAATAATTGGATCCATGTTTTGGAAAATTGAGCGGTTGACATTAAACAAAAATACATTGACATCTAACATGTCCAAAAGTGCAACCGATCATGTGGACCGTCACCAAATGAAGCAAATTCTTTTGTCTTGATTTTCAAAAACCATCACATTTCTTTTGGATACCTTTCAGAATTCTGATTTTCATGACTAAGCGCCCCCCCAAACTAAAGCATTAATTCCTTAACATTTTTATAGTACGACAAGTTGTTGTGTTAAAAAATAGGAGCTGCCAATTTAAGACATAATTTCAAACTGGTATAACATATGTAAGGGGTTAAATGGGTTCAGATTTTGCTTAATAATGTTAACACTCATCTAATACCCTACATGTGACTCGTCATGTAAGAAACGTTTTTTGTTTAATACGAGTTAACCCATACCCAATTTCTGTGTGACTCAGTTTTCACACTTTTATTTATTAGTTTTAACATGTAATTTTAGACGTCTAATTTGTTAAATTCAATTTATAAACTTTTATATCATGTTATTTCATATTATATTTAAAATAATTTGTTTCATTAAAGGGATTATTATACCTATCATGTTATGTAAATTGATTAATAAAATGTTGATTCAGTTTCTATTTTTTTTCATTCACTTCAACTTAATTTAAAAAATAAAAATAAAAAGATTTGAATCTCCCTCTTTAAATAAAAATCAAATCAAATATGCGAGTGCATTTGTATTAGTTTCAAACGCTCATACTCGAATCTTTCTTTATCTTCAATAGGATTTGCCATATGGTGGTAATGCATGCCATCACCTTTTTCTTCACATCAAAAGAGTGAAGAGTGAAGTGAAGAGCTAGTCCTTTTGCATTACCAGATTTGACAAATCTGCTTCCAATGAGGATTCTCATGCTACTTGTTGATGCCCTTTCTACTTTCTTTTTTTTTTTTTGGGTTAAAAAAAATAATATTTTGTGTCAATTTCATGTTTGGAATGAGTAGGAATCTGACAGTGAACCCTTAATCAAAGAGCAATAAGTGCAAATTGAGACATAAGTAAACTAAAGATAACAATTTCCATTGCTTTTTTTGAAGCATAAATCAATACAAAATAAGAGCTGAAGTAAACTCTAAGGAAAGCAAAAGCCTCCCCACTTCTCAAACGGTACTTTATCTACATATTTCATGACCCTCAGTTCCTATAATTTTTATCAACTTCCACAAACGGAAGTTGATCAAAAAAAGGGCGTTGGGGGACAATGACCATACACGAATCATAAAGGAAGGCAAATTAGACTTGTCAAGATCATCAAACATGGGTTTGGCTCCTAAATGACCCAAGAGCCTTAACAGCTCCTGCTCTCAAGATGAATTGGTGGTAAAAAGCTGCAATAAGTGCTCCAACCATGGGACCAACCCAAAAAATCCACTGAAAAAAAAAGAAAACAAAAAATGTCAAGGGAAAATTAAAATAATGAAGAATTAAAAAATGTAAAATCCTCAATAAATCAAGTAAATGAAAATGAGTGTGCTTTAAAATTGCCTAAGAGGATTAAGTCCAGATAAAACTTAAGATATCCTTGATTGTGTATCATTAAAAAATGAAATCTTTAAAAATTATTGAAAATTATACTAACATGATCATCCCAAGCCGCCTTCTTGTCGTAAATAACAGCAGCTCCAAAACTCCTAGCAGGGTTGATGCCAGTGCCAGTGATTGGGATGGTAGCCAAGTGAACCATGAAAACAGCAAACCCAATCGGAAGTGGAGCCAAGACCTTAAAAAAAATAACACGATTAGTCGGTTCATTTGAAATAATGCATTATTTGTAATTGTGATTTGTGATAAAATTAAGATATTGTTTTTGCATGAGACTGTTTTCTAATACCATAATTAATGTATATGATAACTAATTTGAATATGAGAACTCCAAATGAATGAAAAAAAAAAGGCATTATAAAAATATATTCACTTAGCTATTGTGATTAAATCGAAAAATTTATAAAAAAAAAAAAATACAAATCGAATGTGCTTATGACACTTACAAACATGTGAAGCTTAAAAGGCCAACTAACTTAAAAAAAAAAAAAAAACTTTAAATAAAATTAAGCAGATGAAAATACTCACGGATTCACTAGATAAGGGAATTAAAAAGGACATTGTCCCATGATGAATTGATGACACATGAAAGGCGTTTTACTTTTATTTTTTGAAGGTTTTAAACCCACCATTCACGTTGAACTGAAAACGACCAATATTTGATGAAACAAGGCATTGCCTTTTGTCAAGGGCAAACGACAAAGCCAAAAAAAAACCAAAAAACTCGTTTTATCGAAATTAAAAAGAAAACAAGAAAAACGAAATCCTTTGGATTACAGTTCCTTTGATGGTAACCACAGAGTTATGATTGGCCAGCTCACGCCACTGTCCATTTCTTCAACTCCATTGGTCAAAAAGTTAGAAAATCTGACACACCCTCATTTTCTTCATATAATTAACAAAAAATAGAATCACCTCTATATTTTTAAAAAATTTTGGCATAATTTGGCTAAATAGAAGAAATTAACAATTTATTTATCTCGAATTTTCAGATAATGCTCATTAATTATGGAGAAAATGTTAAAAGTACTTACTGGGACATGGGAGTCTCTAGCATTCCTCTTAGGATCAGTAGCAGAAAAAACAGTGTAAACCAAAACAAAGGTTCCAATAATCTCTGCGCCCAAACCAGTTCCAGTGCTGTACCCATCTGCAACTACGTTGGCTCCACCTCCATACCTGTTGTAGTATGATTTCTGCAAAGCCTTAACCAGCCCAACCCCACAGATGGCTCCCAAGCACTGAGCCACCATGTAAGAAACGGCTCGAATCAATGATACCTTACGAGCCACGAGCAGTCCAAATGTCACCGCTGGGTTAATGTGACCCCCTGTTGTTGCATGGCAGTAAAATTAGTAAATTATGGGTCAGAATCAGTTGACTTGTTGTGAACCAATATTACTTTACAATGCTAAGTTTATAGTAATAAATTAAAAAGTGAAGACTAAATCAGCTTTTTTTTGGTAGGAAATTTTGTTGAAATTTTGTCAAGCCTTGTTCATAGTTCATACCATGGAAAAATGCAGTGAAATTTTTTTTTTTCTATATATAGAAATAACCCTCTTTGGCTTTACAAATCTTAATCTATTTTCTTATGTTTTAAACTCCAAACCTTGGTTTTAAAAGCTTAAATTTTAATTTTAATTATCAGAATCTTAATTATAAAAAGATAGTAAAGCATTTTCCATCTTAAAAATACCAAAATCGAAATAAATAAACAACATACCAGAAATACCAGCAGTGCAGTAAACAAGAATGAATATCATGCCACCAAAGGCCCAAGCAATACCAAGAATACCAACACCAGCACAGGCATCAGAGGAGGTGTTAACTTGGCTATTGTAGCCAATCGCAGTCAAGACTGTGATGTAAAGGAAGAGCAGAGTTGCAATGAACTCAGCTATCAAAGCCCTGTAAAATGACCATTTCTTAAGCTCTGCTGCATCAATCAGAGGTGCTGGTGGAGGGTCGACATAGTCCTTGGCATGAAATGAGCCTTGCTCTCCTTCCTTTGCCATGCCTAACTAGCTATAGAAACAGATATATTAGCTTGAAGAACAAAAATAAAAATGGATTTGCAAATGCTAGGAAAGAAGAGAGAGACAGTGCTTTGTTTTTTTGTTGAGAACTGAGCACAAGGTTAAGAGGGTGTGGGGGTATATATGGGGAGAGAATGCTATGGTGCCTCTCCTTTCTTTTCTATTCTATTCGTTTCTCTTCCTTTGTCTCCATTTTCTTTCTTTTTTTTATGATACATTTTTAAATTATTTTATATTTTAATAATTATTTTTACAAATTTTTAACTTCTAGGTCTATTGTTTGAACTTTTCAAATAAAAAATTTAAGACATTAAAAGAGATAGAGTACCTAATTCAATATTCATTAAATTTTATATAAAAAATTAAAATATAAGTGTCTATTGGTGAGCTTTGGCTTTTTGGATTCGATTACCTACAAGTTATTATAAAATTTATGTGACTTAATCATAATTATAAATTTTTAATTTTTAATAAATCAATAGATTTTATTTTATATTTTAATTGAATGAATCTGATTTTTTATTAAAAAATCAAATTTTAATTAAAATTTATATATAATTATGATTAAACCATTCAAGATTTTGTAAAAAAAAAAAGTCCTTCTGAGGAAACAGACAACATTTTGAGTTTGAGATGACTTTCTCTTCTAATTAGGTGACATGTGATTATCATTACAGACGTATCTAAACTTTATTTCTGGTTAAAGTTGATTGTTAACTTGAAACTTGGATTTTTGTTCTTGTTTAAATTGATGCTATTTAACTTAAACCTTACAACTAAAAATAAGGTGCAAGTAATTTTGTTATTAGCAAAATGTTTAATTATTGAAATATAGAACAATCTAAAACCAAACCAACATATATAGATGACTTTGATTCCTTTGTCAAGCAACCTTATAATTTATCGATAGAATTGTTATTTTATAAACTTATAACCCTAAACGATTAGAAATTAAAATTTTAATTTTAAAAATTTATGTTGAAATGAAATTTAAAAATAAAATGATGATAGCCCTTAATAAAATGACAAAATTACTTGCCAATATAAAATCTAAAATTGTATAAAAATTTAATTTAAATTTAATTAATTTATATAATTATTTTTAAAAATTTGCATTTAATAAATTTTGAATTGTTAACCTTAGCATTTATAACTCATTTTTTATTTTCACACTATGATCTGATATATAAAAAAATTTTAATTTATTTTTAAAAAATTAATTAATGCAAAAAACAATTAGTGCCATGTAGGTCAATATTGGGGTGGTTTCACTATCACCTACCCTACTGGACTTAACCATGCCACCATCATCTGTCCACTTGCTTTCCTCCCTCTGCCCTTTTTTTCCACCCTGTCTATTTTCTCTTTTTGTTGCATTAGATGCTATTTCTTCTCTTAAAACCTACTCTTTTTTTTTTCTTTCAACCTTAAAGACAAACAAGCTAAAAGGGTTACGTCTTCAAGTTGTTTTTTTTTTTTTTCTTCTTTTGTTTGTTGTTATTATAACAAAATCAAATATAAAAACAAAGCAACTTTTAATCGTTGGTTTCATGCCAATGACAAGAAAATATAATGTTAGTAAAGGCAATGGCACGTATGCTAGAATTTTTAATCTTCTTCCCATTTTGTTTTATTAGGCTATTCTTTGATTTTCATACCATTTTTTGATAGAATAATAGGACAATAGTCTTGATTTTTCACTCTCAACTTCAATCATTTTCAGACTTGACATAATACTCCATACATGAATATGAACCCATTTTTATTGTCATGATATATTATATAAATATTTGCATGAAAATATTATAAAAAAAAAAAAAAAGGGTGAACTCGTGGGAAATCACGTGAAAAACATTAGGACCAACTGAAGCCATCCAGGTTTGAAGTTTGAACTTTTTTCTGGAACCCACCCTAAATGCCGAGGACAGGTCATGGTGCGCACTGTGTAGGACCTGAACCACCAGCTGCCTTACCTATGCAGCTTTAAGGCCACTGCTGCCCTTAGTCAATAACTGTATTCCTTTAATTTATTTATGGGACTGACAACCGATAAACTAACATAGAAAAATGAGACGTGGCAAAATATTTGTGGAATAAAATTTGCTTGCTGGTTTCCCACATCTCGAGAATTTTGAGTGATGAGGTCCACATATGTGTTGTAACCCTCTAAATGAAATATCAGCTTTTACCAAAATCTGACGAAGTAAAATATAATATAAATACGATATAAATATAAAATATAAAAATAATTTAATTTAAAATTATAATATTTATTATATTTAAATTTAATAAAATAAAAAATTATATTTTATATTTTTATATTGATATAAATTATAATAAATAATTTTTATATAAAATATGACATCAATATATAAATTTTAATAATTTATACTATATTAATAAACAAATAGTTAGATATAATTTTATTAAAAAAATTATTAAAAATTTTTTCATTTTTCTTATATTTTTATCCATAAAAAAATTTGATAAATTAAAAAGCTTTTATGTGATTAATATATATACTTTTTTGTTTCATTTTCTTTATTTATTTTTTTATATTTTAAAATTATGTTTTCTAATATCTTGAACTCTTATTTTTTAATAATTTTAAAATTATTATTTATTATTTTTTTAATTTTCTAATATTAAAAATAATGAAACTTTAATTTTATAAAAAAAATTAAATTTTAATATTAAAATCAAAATTTTTTTTTAAATTTTAAGAAGTTAATAACGTCCAAGCAATTTAAAATAAAAAATATATAAGTTTTTTTTATTATTTTAATTAGATAAATTAAATCATAAACTTACAATGCTTGCATTATTTTGCAGTAATAATTGTAATTAAGATAAGTGATCAAATATCAAAAATTAAATTTTGATTATTAAAATTAAAATTTTAATATTTTATTAATAAAATATGTAATTATTTTTTATAAATATTTGAAACTGTAAAAAATGATTAGGGATCACTTAATCATTGAATACAATTCATAAATGTAAACATTTATTGGAATTAAATTATATAATATGTTCTTTTCAAAATTAGAATAAAAACTGCTACAATTAACTAACCTGAATCCAATTTATTCACGTATAATCTATATATAAGTCATAAAAAAAATGTAAATGTTGGAAAATTTGGTACAAATTTTTCTCTATTAAAAAAAGAAAGAAAGGGATGCTTGTGGCTAACACGTCACTGCATACCAGAGCTGGAGGAATCTAGGTGACAGTTCAATTGGTGAAGAGTTAATTTCAAAGCACTGTTTTGCAGCAGCTGAACATGAGAGACTTTGAAAGAGTGTCGTTTAAGCAAAGCTTTAATTACAGTCAGAGGGATGTGTTATTGCATCTTCCATAGTTCACATGATTTTTTGTACCTTTTCTTGTTAGTTATTTTTCTTTTTTTATAATATTTTTCTTCATAATTATAAATATATAACGCATTATATTATTGCTTCATTAGGATTCTTTGAATAGAATTGCATTGCAACATACACTGTAACATCAAGAATTATTAAATAATTAATTTTTTTATAAAAAAAATTTGAGATAAATAAATTATTCAGTTTTTAGATTAAGATAAGATATATCATATATGATAATTTAAAATAAATAGTTACAAATCGTACATTCAAGATGATCTCAACAAATGATCATCGATAGAATTCGAATTCAAAATATTTTCATCAAAAAAATAACTTTAACCTACTGAAACAACTACTTGTTGATAATTTTTTTTATTTAACAGAGATTGCAACTTAAAGAAAGAAAAATTATAAATAATTGAATTTATAATATATATATATATATATTGATAATATTGATTTCTCTTCCACCTCATTCCCCTGATAAATGAGAAAAAAATATGGTGTAAACAAATACATAATACAAATTTAAATAGTAAAATTTTAATATTTTCCGGTGGATCTATTTGGATTATTGTTTTTTCAAAATTTTTAACATTTTTTTCATAATATTATATCATAATCTAAGAATAAGAGATAAGTTTGATAGCGATTTTAGATTGAAATCATAATACTCTTTCTTACACAAAAGTTCAAAATAATTAAATAATTTAATTTATCAAATTAATCTTATGATATTTTGGCCAAAAAATTTCTTATGATATAAAATTTTTTACCTAAGAACTTTTTAAGGCACAACATAATACCAAATTACCTGCTAATTAAATATAATAAAAAATTAATCAAATTATCTACTAATTAAATATAATAAAAATTTTAATTTAAAAAATGTAGTAAAAATTTTGTGTTGGGTATTATGGGTGATTAATGCTAAGTCATAAAAAAGATTTAAATGAATTCTTCTATACTTGAAAAAAAATATATATATGGAAAATACAACTAATCAAAGCTTTGATATATCACAAAACATTTGTATTCAAATTTATAGGTTTGAAAAAGTTATGAGAAATGAAAATCCCAAGAAAAATTTACAAGTGAAGTAAAGGAACACTTTATTCATATTTTTCTAATAATACTCTAAAAACACATGAGAATTTAAAAATATAAAGTTAAATATTCTGGATTAAACAATTCCCCATGACCCTCACACATTGCTCCTATTTCTTGTGGGTTGGGGCTTCTAAAGGAATAAAGGGAATATCAAAATGTTTATTAATTAAAAAATGCAATTAACCTTTTCGTTTCTATATATTTATTCTCATCCCATTGTAGAAACTTTTTTTCTCCGCTTTTCCCTGTTGTGGTGCCTTTATTACTAATTTACTCGTTAATTCTGGGTCCTTAGCACCACAAAAATAATAAAATAGAAATTTTAAAAAATAAAAAAATAAAAGAATAAAATAAAACTAAAGAATATGCTTTTTTGACCTCTTGAAAAATCTTGTAATTAAATTTGTTAGAAAAAGTTGTGAAATCAATTCAATTGAAAAGATTTTTTAAATTTTTTAAAAATTATTAATTATAAAATTAAGTATATTTATTATATTTTTATATTCTTCAAAAAAAATTTTATTTAAAAATTAAAAAATTACACACTCCTCCGTAACAAAACTACTTACACAACTTTTCTTTGTAAAGAAAAAGAAAAAAACATTTACGCAATTGATGTGTCAAATGTTAGTTTAGTGTAATTTATTTGGTTCCTTAGTATCCACAAATAAA